AATTCACTTGCCATATATTTCTCAGTTTCGACTTTAATTCACTAAATTGGTGACGTCATTTTGCCGACAAAAATTAACTGGTAATAAAACTAAAGTGAAGACATTTTTTTCTTTTTGCGAGTACTCTAGCTTAGTGTAAAATTTGAAAATGATTAGATGTTTTTGTAAGAAATTAGACTATTAAAATTCACGATTTAAAAGGCGCCAATGATTTCAATTGCGATCTGTGAAAGCAGCGTGAAAATCATTGGCAGCTGGTGGTGTAATTACTTTCCCTGCTAGCAGAGAATCCCTGGTTGGCGATTCTTGGCAGAAATGTTTTCTCTGCCAAGAACGTTCCACGAGAGGGGCTCTGCTAGCAGGTAAGTATTATTTACTTGAATGAATCAAGTTATTTGCTAGCTAATAGGTTTATATAACTTTTCATCCAATCATTTCACTGTAAGATATAACATTTTGTGCATAATTTGATTCGCTGAAACAAATCGGCATCGTTTGCTGCAATGATTAATTTTTAAGTGCACTGCGAATCTCAACACCTTAAAGCTGATCCAAAACTAAAGCGTATTTTGGACTCAAATCGACGTGAAAAATGAATCAAGATATTGTTTATTCCGTTCTGTTTTCTGTTGTTCTTGTCTTCACTATAGTAGGAAACTCCCTCGTTATTTACATCATCAGGAATGAACGAGGAATGAAAACATCCACAAACTATCTGCTGTTCAACTTGGTTGTAGCAGACCTTTTATTTGGTCTTTTTCTTGCTCCTGAATTCATATTCCTGCCTTTCTTGGATCGAGTATCCATTCCAGATGGAGCTCTTGGTGACTGGTTGTGTAAACTAGTTTTGTCTAGTAACATTTCTTGGATAGCCGCCGACGCATCTCTCTTCACCATCTTGACTTTATCAGTGGAACGATACTTTGCTGTTTGCCGTCCTCACTCCTTCCGTCAACGATTTTCTCTACGAAATATCAAAATCTTGATTATGATATGCTGGGTTTACTCTTTTTTGTGGTCTTTACCGACTATAATTTTAGAAAAGCGCGATGTTTCCAACAAAGTAGTTTGCAAGCATTCGTTGCTAACAAACCAGTTGCACGGCATATTTGTTGGCACAGAAATATGTCTTTCGGTTTTATTGTTGGCTTTTTTCTCGATAAGAATTTGCATTTCCCTCTGGTTCAAGCAGACAGTTGAGCCTACGGGACAGCGAGAGATAACCGAGAGGAAGAAGAAAAAGAGAATTACATTGTGTGTTCTTGCTGTAGTTGTTGTTTTTCTGTTCTGTTGGGTTCCTAGTTACATTGTTTATTTACTACGTGTATTCTCCTATGAACTTCATATAAATTTTGCATTTAATTATAGAGCATCGATACTGATGATGAATGTAAATGCAGCCCTGAACCCGCTGTTGTACCATTTTTCTAGCTTTAAAAATTTCTTCAAGAGAAAGATCTTTTGCAGCTCGAGCGTACGTACAATTCCAAATCCCAGTGAATATCACGATAACACGAATCAGAATATACCGCCTTGAAAAAGAAAAAAAAAAAGACAAAAAAAAAAACAAAAAAAAA